CATTTAGATCCCTTACTGTACATTCAGAGTTATTTATTAAAGTCAGAATTATGGGGAATTCAATGTTCATTCAAAGTAGATGTCAAATTTAAGGCCAAAATTGCTGAACAGGCAAAATTAGGCTTTTTAGGTCTGTAATTTGAAATTGAATTTAGAAACATAGAAACATGAAACAGAATGTGACGGCAGAACCATTCGGCCCAACTTGTCTGCTCCATTTTCTAAATACTTTCATTAGTCCATGGCCTTATCTTATAGCTAGGATAGCTATATACATCCACACCTGCTTAAAAGACCACTATAGGCACCCAGACCACTTCAGCTCAATGAAGTGGTCTGGGTGCAAGGTCCCCCTAGTTTTAACCCTGCAGCTGAAAACATAGCAGTTTCAGATTAATCCAGCCTCTAGTGGCCGTCTCCCTGAGACACCCCATACTTTATTGAGTTAAACAAAACCGTGATGGCATAAGGGAGTTAATGTATGTACAGCGTGGGTAGTTTACAGTCATTTTAGAATCTTGCACTGAGAGCACATAACTCCTGAAGTTTAAGCTCAGACATGGTCCTCTCTAGATAGAAGGGTTTCCTATTGGGCCCTTTGGCTATCCAATTCCTATCTGAGCTAGCCCATGTTGGAGTAGCCCCTCATTTGTTTTCTAATCCGGATTGCGACTCGGTTTTCCTCTCTGGGTACACACTGAAGTATCCACTTTACCTTATTGGGTCCCTATGGACTAGGTGTGTGATCGATATTGGTGGATTGGCTAATTGAGTAGCATGTGGGTGTATGTGGAATACATTGATAAACAAAAACAACGAAAATGGGGCTGGGGGTGATTAATTTATATACATGTGGGTAACACTGTAAGTGTAATCATGTCGTAGAAATGAATCTTGTAAAGTGTAAGTGGTCATTGTGGTGTCGGTCCTGCAACCTATTAATGAACAGAGGGGAGTTGACGTACTAGTAAGGAGCTAGTGTTCGTGGGATCAAGTCTGAAATGTGGTGTGCCAATATTGTAACTCACTAATGTCTCTATTCCAACATTTAAGCACAATGGCCATCATGCAGAGCATGCTATAGGTAGTCTACCTCAGTCATCCTTGGTATTCATCAGTTTAAGCCAGAACTCTTTCCAGGACTGACCTGCCAGGTCCGTAACCTTTCCTCTTCTATTCTGTTGGTTCGTAATTAACTCATAATCCCAGTTCATTTCTATCTGTTGCATTAACATAGATTTTAAGGGGGCCTGTGGTGATTTCCATGCCCTGGCTATGAGGGTGTTAGCTGCTATCAAAATGTGGAACAGGAGTTTGGCGTCAATCTGTAGTATGTTCTCAGGCCAAATAAACAGCAAACTTAGTTCTGGGTAATAACTGGTTGATTCGCTTTCCAACCATTTCCTAGTATGGGCGAAAAACTTTGCACGTCCATCAAATATGGTACATCGAGCCGGGTTCAGATATACATCTCCAACATTTGTTGGTTGTGTTAGGGTAGATATGTGCTAATTTTGTAGAGACTAGATATCACCTATACTGTATTTTCGTATGAGTTCTAGATGTGTGGTGCATGCGGTGTTACCTTTGTGGATTGTGAATGCTCGGTTCCACTGACTTGTAGAGAAAGTGGAGCCAATGTCGTCATGTCAAGATTGCATTAATTTTTCAGTGGGTGTTGCCTTGCTCACAAGCAGAAGTGTGTATATAATCGAGAAGATTTTTGTTTGTGGGATCTCTATAAGACACAGGGAGTCATATCTGGAGAGGGTCGGCATTATGAGTTGGCCCGTTGTTGACTGCAGGGTGGACTTAAGCTGTAAATAAGAGAAGATAGCCCTCTGTGGGAGTGCAAATTGTGTTTGTAAGTCTGGGAATTAATGGTGTATATGCGTACATCCCTGTGTAGTCCATGTGGAGTAATCAAGGTTTGGGTTTCTCAAGTAGATGCTCTACAGTGGCGTGACCAATGATATTTCGTTAGGTCTACCAAGATGGTTACGGTAGGTGTCCCACGTGTTCAGCAGTAGTTTTGTTGGTTCTAGCATGTGTGGAGATGTGTGGTATCCAGAATAAGTGGTAGAGACCAGGTCTGTATGACCAGTAGGATTCTATGTCCACCCATTGGGGTGCGTTTTTAATGATATGAGTGGTTACCACAGTTGAGAGAACTGCAGCCTTGTGGTACAGTTTCCCATCCGGAAAGTTCAACCCACCCATTGAAATAGGTTTCTTGAGTATGTGTGTTGCTACCCTGACTTTTGAGAGCCTTCTGTAAGGATGTCAGATATTGTTTAGGTAGGGGGATTTGAAGAGTCCTTAGTAAGTATTGTAATTTTGGTAGTAAGGACATCTTAAATGCTGCAATTCGCCCATGCCAAGGCAGAAAGTCCTTCCCCCAAGATTGGAACGTTTGAGTGAGTTCATGGTGAAATTTCTTGTAGTTATGTTTAAACAGTTTGTTTGTCGATTTAGTAATTTGTATTCCTAAAAAGGTAACAAAGTCCTCTCTCCAGTCGATGTTGAAGGAAGACTTCAAAAGCTCTAGATTATGCCCAGGCAGACCTATTCCCATTGCTTGTGTCTTTGTTAAATTGAGTTTGTAATAAGATACTCAATTGTAGTCTTGTATGCAGTGTAAGAGGTTGGGTAGTGAGATTTGTGGTTGCGTCAGTGTTAGGAGTATGTCGTCTGCAAAGAGATTTAGTGTGTACGCCTTGTCTCATATGTGTACTCCATGAATGGCTGGGTTTGTTCGAATTGTCTCCGCTACGACTTTCAGTACCATCACATAAATTCCGGATTACGAATGGTACCCCTATGGGGTACCATTCGTAATCCGGAATTTGTCAGAGACAAATCCAGAGTTTAGAACCCGCACTGTTGGTGTCGAATATGAGGCCCTGACCACCGCAATGAAGCCTCCAGGGAGTCCAAACTTGTAGAGAACAGCCTCCAAGAATCCCCAACCCAGGCGGTCAAGGCCTTCTCTACGTCAAGGGACAGCAGCAGTCTGAAGTTTTGCGGGCTTGTCGTGGTTTGCCTGGTTTAGGCAGCGTGACAATATGGGCCAGTTGCATTTCATCTGGCAGGGACTCTGCAGCAATAGCTTCGTTGAAGACTTCTGCCAAGCGGGGAGCTAACATGTCACAGTATAGTCGGTAATACGAATTGGCAAAGCCATCTGGGCCTGGCGCCTTACCCTTTGGTAAAGATTTTATCGTTGCTGCAACTTCCTCTGTGGTAACGGGTAAGGACAGCGTGCTCTGTTGTTGCTGCGTTAATAGGGCAAGTGTAGACGGTCGAGGTATCTAGATATGTCTGCAGAGGATGGTTGATATTTCTCCTGGTCATCCTTAAGATTGGCCAGAGTAGTAACTGGCGAATTAATTACTGATATCGTTGGGTATCATGATTTCCCCCCCTGATTTGGCATTTAGATACACTATCTTCTGGCTAAGCTGTTTCTTTTTTAATCTGGTCGCTAATAATTTGCCTGCCTTGTTTCCCTGGGAGTAATGTGCAGATTTGAGTTTCCTCAAATGATATCCCACTTTAAGGAGTGCATTTTGGCGAATTATGGGGCATAAGAGGGTTGGGTGTTCTCGCAACTGCGGGGTTGGGGTGATTTGGTTTTGGACTGTCAAGTATAAATTTCTGTTTGCCACTGCAAAAGTTGGGTTTGCGTATGTGTATGGAGTATGACACCCATCGTATGAAAATCCCTCATGCGACTGCCTTATGGGCTTGCCACATGGTGTGGTTTGCCAAGTTTTGTTTTCCATTGTCCTCAAAGTAGTTTTGTAGTGTGTCGGCTAAGCTTTTCGTGAATTCAGGGTCTGTCTAAGTTGGGGTCTAGGACGTGGTTAAAATACCCTCACAGGATAGTGATGTCCTGTTGTATGTTGGTAACTTTGTGAATAATCCTGTGTAAATTTCTCTGATGGCTATTAGGTGCATACAGATTAGCGATGGTATATACGACATCGTTAAAGCGTCCCACAATGATTGCATATCTGCCCTCTTTGTCTAGGTCTAAGTCTACCATTTTTAATGGGGTGAGTAATTTAAATCAAACAAATCTTAACTTTTTTTTTGTCTTCCTGTATACCTCCAGTTTATCTCCAGAATATCTCCAAGCACACACTTTGAAGCAGCAACCAAGCTATATTAGCCAATCTAATGACCACAACTCTTATATAACCTCTAAAAAGCACCACCCACTAGGTATGTTTAACACCTGGGTGGGCCTATGCTTATTTGCAAACCATAGCTATTTAACCAACAATCAATAGCAAACACCTAGCTAATCAAATCAAATGCCTTACCAATTACCAACAGGAACTCAAACCTTGTGCAATCAGTAACCTTTTCCTATAGATGAATCTTACCTGTAACAGTAAAACATTTTAAAATTCACTTTGAATTCTCCAGAATTCTCCCAACCCTGTAAGCATTTTGAATTAACTTGTTATCCATTGAAGGGGATGGTGGATCACCATGACTGGTTATAACTTACATACATTTTGTGCCTTAGTTTTTTAAAATCTTAAAATTTTTATAGAGTTTTAGAAGTAAAATAATAAGTACAGTTACATTTTAATTTGTTGAATAACAATTATAAAACTTATTTTAACGTAACATGGGCACAGACTTTCATAAGGAGTGTATCACATCTGCTCATGTGTACCCAGTAGCCTTACATTTATGAATTGAATAACAATAAATGCCCCCTTTAATAAATGCTTAAAGCACCATGACTGTACCAAACGGGCCTGAATTAGGGCCGGGTTTCAGTTGGACCAAATGTCACCAAATGTCACTGGACTGCTGAAATCCATGCCGGAATGCTTCAAATCTGGATTTAAGGGGGCGGGGCCTGACCGCTGAACAGATCAGACGTGTCTCATCTGAGCTCTGGGATCTGGGCCAGAAAATTGGAGCCAACTCTGCACCATAAGTAGCCACCAACCCAAACTGGCACCCAAACTGCCCACCAGATGAGGGCACACACAGCAATACCACTCAAGACACGGTATGGCGCCGGAGTAACCCGACCACGGCCTGGGGCCTACTCGAGCTTGAGCCGGGGAGAGACGGCCGCTCCCCCGGGTCTCCGAACGACGGCCGGCTGTCCCCCCCCCTTGGACCGGCGGGGGTTATCCCGGTCTCCACGGGTGACCACCACTGATGACTGCCGAGCCCAAACACGAGCCAGGCCGCAGAACACAGCCCAGAGGGAGCGCTCCAAATGGCGGATAGTCCGCAACCACATGGGCATACAAAGAGTGACCTGCCACATAATGCGGAGCCCCCAAAGGCAGAGCCGACTTGTGGACCTCACATGCCCCTGAGACAAGCCAGCAACCCACCTTAAGCGGCTACCAGTTCCGGCAAAAAAACGCAAGTGGAGAGACAAAAGGCGGGAACAGAGGGGGTTCCCCTTGGGCACCCCTAACGCATGGACCACACAACCACACCAAACGAGCCCAATCTAGCCGAAGACGTCAAGGAGCTCCTGCCCTGAATGCCATACTCAGACGCGGAAGAACCAAGACCACAGGAGGAAACTCCATACTGGGATCCTCGACAACTCCTACACGGGGAAGGACTGCGGCCCACATTGGAAGCACTCAAAACCGCGAGCCGCAGAAGCAGGCCCCCAGGATTACCCAGGGCTCTGAAGAGGGCTTAATTGAACTCTGCCGCCGGGCCTCCTACAGCCCTATATGCCCACAACCAAGCCTAGGCATCGGCTAATTCTGGACACTAACTATGGACTCTATGATGCCGTACCTGCAAACACTGAAACAAACGGTATCCACTGACTCACACACACTCTGACTTACCTGACATCCAGCCAGCATAACCAGTAGGTAAAGTAACCCATAAACGCACAACATGACAACTTCTGGTATTCACATGCCACTGCAGACAAAGATACCATGCATAAGCCCTGACAAATGCCCCCATTATTAACTGCGTAGATCCCAGACCTGACTAAGGGAGCGACAGCAACTAACCCCACGAAACTCCACGCCTTCCGCGGTGGCGCCCGAGGTAGACCAAGCTAGAGTTTAACTAATTAGACCAAATAACGTATTAGAGACCAAACACTCATATGATTATAACCAGCAAACGTCTAACTTTATGTCATACTAAGTGAAGCAAACTGTAATTCCTAGTCATGCTTGTATTTATGCTCCTATTGCGTAAACTGACGATACAAGCGGTGAAAACAGCTGGAGCACCAAATTCGTAATACTCTAATGTTATCATAATATAAAAATTGTGCAGATCTTCTATATGCCATATGTGAAATGTATGTTGACATTGTGCTCGTGACTGCTATTGTGGCACCATGACCCGTTTTGTGAAATCTTGCACACAAAAATAAAGAATTAAAAAAAAAAAAAAAAATCTGGATTTAAACAATATCTAAATATTTGCACAATGGCAGTGCTAGCAGTCAGTAGGCAAATAGCTAAAAACCCTCGGTACTGCAAAAGTTAATTATGTGGCTGCTGGACAAAGCTTGTAAAAAAAAAGTAAAAAATAAAATAAAAAATTACAAATGCACAAAAAATACAATAAATTAAAAACCCTATGGGTGTCAATAAGACCCATACATTACTTTAAGGGCGTAAACCCCTCCTCCCCCCCCCACCTGTCAGGCGGCAGGTAGGGACATGTCTCTCTATTGTTTAAAATTAGCGACTGGACAGCCTTTGCTGCCCAGTAGTTAGAAAGCTTTTATCACTAAAATAATGGAGTCCACCCCGTTCCACTATCCATGGGGATTAGGTGGGGTACTTTAACCCCTTAAGGACCAAACCTCTGGAACAAAAGGGAATCATGACATGTCACACATGTCATGTGTATTTAAGGGGTTAAATTAAAAAATGGGGGTGTGCAGATTATTGTCCATCCAACTGCCCCAACACTGTGCAATGGGTAAAAGGTTATTACAGTTAAACAAATGAGGGTGGGGCATGTGGGGGCTACTTACAAAAAGGGGGGCCTAATTACATACCCCAGTTCCCACCCATTAGGTAGGTGTGGGCTACTATAATATTGAGGGGGTATCTAGTGTCCCCAGGTCCCACTATAATATTGAAGGGGTATCCAGTGTCCCCAGGTCCCACCCATTAGCTGTGGGTTAGACTTTAATTAGAATGGGTGGTGGGTGGAGGCTTTAATTACAATATATAATGGGGGTGGACATGCCATTGTCTACACCCCAAAAAATGCCATTGTCTCCCCCCAGGTGGATAGGGGTCCCTAATGCCATAGTCACTCCCTAAATTGAATACTGATACATGTAAAAAATAATTTCTATCAGAAGTAAGACATATTTACCAATCCTTACCACCAAAAGTCTTCATTTTTGTAAATCATTTCTCCTGTTGCCTCCAGCTTACTCCATCAAATGACCATAATTGCCATCTCAAAGTCAATCCAGATCTCTTTCTGCCTTCATTTCCTTCAGAACTGTTCTGTGACTCAATTGATCTATGTCTGCTGACAATGTCTTCCAGAGTATCTCATTGTTTCAGGTGTGTCCGAGGCAGTGCAGCCATATGTGGGTGGTGGGCCTACATCTCACCTAATTGCAAGTAACAGACTTGTGGTCTGGGCACTGTGAGGAGACAGTTCAATGACTACCACAGAGGGAGTCCAATTCCTCCTTCATTAGGGTGTGTCTTGGTAAGCCCTGTGCACACACTTATACTAGTTACAGTAGACACTACACCCTACTTCAAATATTTTTAACAGGGTCCCTGAAATCCTGCATTAACGTTCTCTATCTTTGAATGTTCAAAGAGGAACGACTGGTCAGATTGACAAATTGACTAGTCGTCGGTAATAAATCCCACCCAATAACGAGACCAAGCTCCGCATTGAGGGTAAAACATGAACTGGCTTTACTGTGGGCTACCTGCCCGTATTTATGCAGGTCTCCCACTTGGTGGACACTCCCCTAGGGGACCAAATGGGAGACTGTAACAATAGACAGACATATGGCAGGTTAGGAACCACAGACACAGAATATTCCCAGCATGCATTAGTATTTCCTCCCCTCTGCCCTGGAGATAATTGAGAAGTAATTCAATTATCTCCAGGACAGAGGCAAATCGCCATTTTAAATTCAACACAGAAAAACATATAAAAATATATAACTTTACATTTGTCGAATGTTACCCATTCGTATCACGTATCCCCAGATAGCCTGGATCTGAGTGCATATTATTGGCGAATAGCGCTCAGATCCCATACGCATATAGCCATGGAGTCAGTCTATTACAGTCTTTCGGTATGCGATTGACTCCATGGGAAGGCTATCTGGGGTAAGTCCATTCGTGCGTATAAAACTCCCGAACGGCCGGTGTTCGTATACTTCTGTCGATTGAGAAGGGAGGTCGGCGGCTTCAGCGGTGTTCGGCAGAAAAAGTGTCCGTTTTCAGTTCCATGAAATCCATGCCGAACACCGCTGGTCTTTCGCATGGTTTAAAATGGCCGCCGCCTCGTGGTCGACATACGAACGACGACCACCCTGTATTCGGTTTTAATTGAGAAGTGTCTGCGGTTAACCACAACGTTCTAATTGGGATCAAGAGGTTAACCAGCAGCACACTTCTCTTCTGGGTGGCCGTCCGTTCGGTAGTTTTGTTCGGTGGAAAAGTCAATTCACTGAACAGGGGCATACGAACGGGTAATTCCACGAAAAGGCAAAATAGACGAACCAGCAATCCCAGTCTATACAGATGGATCTGTCACAGTAACCTTACCTAGCACTTTCTAAGAGCAAATATTTCATAAAACCCTAAAGGCTTTTTTAAAAAGACAATTGTATCGTCATCAGATTTTTACATTTTTGGGAAAGCAGTTCCCATGTTGCTTTGACTCTGATGCCCAGCAGTGGAATTTTATTTCTGTGTCAGCTCGCCTACATTTTTATTACTGGTCGTTCCGAGCCTGCGATAAACTAATTTATGAAAATCATGCTATGCCACCCTCTTCTGCAGCCACGTCTAGCTATCATAATAAACTAAAAGCATGAACAAAAGGTTCTGTGCCAATTTGAATTAATTTAGGTTTATCAAAAATATTTGCATACAAATGTCACAAATAGCCATCATTTCTACCTGGCCCACTGCATCTGTTAAACTGTTCCTGGATGGTAGGGAGGCTTACAGCGGAGCTCTCATTACCATCAAATTAACCTTATGAGTGCCAAAGGCTAGCATCAATACTTAAACCCTGCAATTGTTAATGCAGTGAATTACAGGTGATACTAGAAAAAATAGAATATCGTGCAAAAGTTCATTTATTTCAGCAATGCAATGTAAAAGGGGAAACTAATATATGAGATAGACGCATTACATGCAAAGCAAGATAGTTCAAGCCGTGATTTGTCATAAGTGCGATGATTATGGCTTACAGCTCATGAAAACCCCAAATCCACAATCTCAGTAAATTAGAATATTACATGCAATCAATAAAACAAGGGGTGTACATAGAACAATATCGGATCTCTGAAAAGTATAAGCATGCATATAGACTCAGTACTTGGTTTGGGCCCCTTTTGCAGCAATTACTGCCTCAATGCGGCGTGGCATGGAAGCTATCAGCCTGTGGCATTGCTGAGGTGTTATGGAAGACCAGGATGCTTTAATAGCGGCCTTCAGCTCTTCTGCATTGTTCGGTCTCATGTCTCTCATCTTTCTCTTGGCACATTTCCCATCATGTGGCTCACAGATCAAGTGAGAAACAGTAACCAATAGAAGGAAAATAGGGTGGGAAAGTAATCTATATTTATACATATTTATTAAATATATTACATATAAATATGGAATTTTTTGTTTACTGCTCCTCGTCTTTTTTCCTCTATTGCTCACTCCTTAACTAATTCAATAATTAATTAATACAATCAACATTCAGTTAATTTCCCTTCAATCTTTTGTTTTTTAAGTGCCACAGGCAGGAATCTAAATCCAAATCAAAAGAACATGCTCGTCCACAGCAGCAAGCGATCAACCGACATCCTTGTTTGTTTATCTACTAATACACTATTCAGAGGTGTGTGCTGGCTTAAAGTAACACTAAGGCATTATGAATGCAAACCTTTTTTGTTCCTAACACTTCAGGGTGCTTGTACCCAGCTAAATAGGTCCCCCTCCATGCATGCCATTAAAAATAAAACGAAATAAAGCTTTTTGTTGAACTTTTTTTCAGTGCTGCTAACCTCTACTCCTCCTGTGACATCATCAAGGAGGCATGCCCTCCTCCAGGTGATCCAATCCTATCCACCTCGTTTAGGAGCAGTAGGGACTTCATACTTTCTCCAAAGAAA